GCTACTGCTACTGCTACTGCTACTGCTACTGCTACTGCTACTGCTACTGCTACTGCTACTGCTACTGCTACTACTACTGCTCCTGCTCCTGCTCCTGCTCCTGCTCCTGCTCCTGCTCCTGCTGCTGCTGGCACTAATATTACGCTGCTGCTACGCTACACTACCACTACCACTACCACTGCCACGAGCCCTACCTCTACCCTTACTGCTACCACTACTACCACTACGACGACGATAGCGATGATAGCACGCAAAAACACAAGGTTGGGGCCGCTCATCTGGAATAGCCACCGAAGCTGTAAGCAACTTCTTCACTGCCCGACTCCACAATGAGACTTGGACATCTGCGCGTCATTGCTAGAGTCTCCCTGTTGACAGAAACAATACAATTACCGTCAAGCTCGGGATCTTACTCCCCCACATGTGGGTAGTTCTCTGAATAAGAGGGGGCGCCGCCTTGATTCGGGTTCCCCAAAAGGGACCCTTATTTAGAGAACTACCCGGTAACTATGTTGATGAGCGCTCGCTGAATCTGCCAGGACCGTAGCTACTCCGCGGCTTTCGGTGGCTCCAACACGGAGGCCCGCTGGGACCTGAAAGACATGCTTCAGGGTTTGGGATATGGGGTTAGGGTTTAGGGTTTAGGGTTTAGGGTTTAGGGTTTAGGGTTTAGGGTTTAGGGTTTAGGGTTTAGGGTTTGGGGAAGGAGGCGTCAGCAAAGCCGAAGCAGGCGACCCTGAGATATCTACACATCGTTGGCATGCTGGAACCTGAGGGCATCTAAGTCTCCTCTCTCCCCTCCGGACTGTGGCCCGGAACCCTAAACCCTAAAGCCCAAAACCGCTCCAGGGCTTCTATTCCACCTTTTCTTGTCGCGCAGAAGCCGAAAGGATTTGGAAAGGAAGCTTTCGACAGAAACAACCCAACCTTTGCAAGCTCGGAAGCATGAGGGAGGGTTCAGGGTTTAGGGTTCAGGGTTTGGGGGTTTCTGATTTTCCTGGGTTTCGAGATAGACTGAAGGAATTGAGAACTGGGAAGAACCCTATCCCCAAGCCAGAAAAGATCTATGGACTTGGGAAATCTGGTGTCTGAGGGTTCACCACTGAAGGCTTAGGACAATGGCTGAGTTGGTTAGGCTTTCGCTCTTTTTGTGGTTTCCGCTTTTTTCGTCGGCGGTTTAAGAGCTGGGGCTCAGATTTCAGGCCAACGACTACGACGACGACTGCAATCGTACAACTCTTGCGCGAGGTTTGGGGCTGGGGGATGTGCTGCATACTGAATCATATACCCCAACTCCTAACGCCCTATAAAGCCTGCAAGCCCAGTAACCCCAAACAGCCCCAAACATCACGGTGCAAATCGAGAAGCTGAATCCCAAACCCAAGCTGCTACAGTCTGTCAGCAGCCCCGACGAGTCCTACACGAAGCCTCAAACCGGGAAGCTGCATCCTACACCCATGCTCCGCAACCCAAATAAAGCGTGTAAACTCATAAACCCTAAACCCTCACATCCTGAAGCTTTCACAACCTAAACTCTGCAAGCCCTTGAAAGTCTACATCCCCAAAGCAACTCAAAACATAATCAAGACATGAACACCATTTAAAAGTTTTAAACACCACAACCAAAACAAAAACAAGGGACCCTAAACCCAACCCAACCCCCAAGTAGCCCTTTAAAGGAAGCCTTAAAGGGAACCCCGTTAGGAACTGAGATCCGTCTCCGAGGTCCGAACCCTCCGCGACTCGGGGGGTCAGGTGGCCTTGGGCTTGCCACGGACGGGGGGCTTGGGGTTTAGGGTTTAGGGTTTAGGGTTTGGGGGTTTAGGGTTTGGGGTTTAGTAAAGGGGTTTAGGGTTTGGGATTTACGGTTCGGGGTTTAGGATTCAGGGTTTAAGGTTTGAGGGTTTGCAAGATAACTCAATCCGGAAAGCCTCAAGGCCCAAACCGAACATTCGACCCGTAATCCTCACGACCCCTGCGCCTGTAAACCGGGAACTCTAGAACCTTCGCGTGCTTCTGGTTTGGTGCCCTCTATAGGGTTTAGGGTTTAGGGTTTAGGCTTCAAAGGGTGCAGCATCCAGAAAAAACGTGACAGATATCAACAAACACGTGAATCCGGCATCAAGAACTGCTTGGCTTGACCTCAAGAACTAATTTGCGCGGAACTCTTAGGTTGCATACGTGGCTACGTTGAAGGCATTTTCAATCCTCCTACAGTTTGAGAGGTCCTCTTTTGGTTTGAGCCATTAGGTTTATTTCGTGTCAATCAGTTTTTCTTGATGTGTGGGAAATGCTAGTTCAAACCATAAGCCCTACTCGATTTATTAATTGAGACCTACGAATTCGAAGGACGAGCGCCAACGCATAAAAGCCAGAAGATGCAAGCCACTACCTCCGGGTGTTTTCAGTTTTCAGTACCTATTCGATTAAGGCTCAGGACTTAGGGTTTAGGGTATTTCATGGAGTCCTAAGCTTTCAGATTCCTGATCTATTGGCCTGGGGGGCTATCATCGGTTGATTCCTTTCAGCTAAGACTCTAAGAACATTCCAACAGGGGCCCCATCTCATGTCAGTGACAGAAGTGGCCTGCAAAGCTGAACGTTGCAAACACTCTATAAACCCTCAACCCTTAAGCCGCACAGCCTCAACCACAGCCCCGCGACCCCGCACAAAGAGGTCTGCAAAGCGGTAGCAACACTCGTGTGTGCACAACCCACTATGTATACAAAAACATACCCCCAAGCCCCAACCGAAATGCAAAAAATCCTATCTTAAATCGTTCAAACGCTGATAAACACTCCTTAAAGCCTAATTCTCAATCATGAAGCCTCCTCGACCTCCTGGGCTTCCGAGCGGCGCTGACGAGGCATTTGCTTGCTTCTCCACCCACTGGAAGCCGCTAGCCCGCACAGCCAAGGTCTGTCAGCCAGCTTGTGTTTTTTTTTGGAGGTGATTCCACGGATTAGGGTTTAGAGCCTAGGGTTCAGGGTTTAGGGGATTCGTATTGCAGAAGATGTTGTGACACTTCTGCGGTGTTCTGAAAAAGACTTGTATTGGAAGGGTGTTAATCAAGGCTTTAGCAATAGGGTTTAGGGTTTAGGGTGGGTTTCTACAAGGGCTCTATGAGCTTTCGAAGAGGGGTGCTATCGAGACTACTAGTTACACAGTTTTGGATGCAGGGTGCAGGGTATCAGGGGTCGGGGTGTTGCAAGAGTGACGCCTGGCATCTGGGATTGTCATTGCAGCTCAAACAAGGCAACCCCGCCCTAAACCCTAAACCCATAAGCCCATAAACCCTAAACCCATAAACCCTGAACCCTAAACCCATAAACCCTAAGCCCAGAAACCCTGCTGGCACAACAGACAAACGCATCTTCTCCTTTGAGTATGCATCCCCGTAACCTTAATCTGGCCATTCCGGGTCTAGGGGTGCAGGGGTATCAGGACCTAGGCTACTAGAGGGGCCTTAATGACTGGAGGCTTTGGGGTAATATTCTACCATACTTATGAAAAAGAGCCCCCCAAAATAGTATTGGTAATGATTTAGGCCCCTATATGATTGGGGTTGAGGGTTTTAGGGTATAGGGGAGTCTAGCTGGTTTTTGGTCGTGGGCCTGCGGGGGTGGAGGTGGAGTCTCCCAGCGTCGCGTGGAGCCACGACCTCTCCGGAAGAAGCTGAAGACAAACTTTGAAGGAGCAGTGCTTAGGTTTAAGAACTTTTGTAGGAACAAGGTTAGAAATTGAAAGTTTGAGGGGAATTCACCTATAGTCCGCTGTGCGGGTTCTCTTTCTCTGCATGACTCTTACAAACTATATTGTGGCATGCTCGGGTCGTCGTTGCACAGGGCCTGCAGGCGCTCTCTTTGTGGCTGTGCGCGCTCTCTTTGTTGTTTGTACGCTTGTCGGGTTGATGATGCAACGGCTCGAGGGTCGCCGACGAACGGAACAGAGAGGACATGAGACAAGTCAAAAGCGCACGACGAACTTCTCAGCAGATCTACTATAAATGCACCCGGATCACGACTACGATCCTGTGAATCAAGCTGTCGACTAGCAGTCGTAGTGTTGGACAGCGGTGTCGTCCTTAACAAAGGGTTCAGGGCTTGGGATTGGGGCTGATTTAGGCTGGATTGCTCTACACTGTGTGCTGGACAGCGTATGCATCAGGCTTATGAGCTGGAGGCCCTCACCCCTGAACCACCACCATAGCTGATGCAAAAACGCAAGCAGCCGTCCATCTAACCCACACCCTAAACTATCAACCCCTAAACCCTAAAACCCTAAACCCCTGAAGCCCTAAACCCCTAAAATCTAAACCCTAAACCCCTGACCCCTAAACCCTAATTAGGTCCTAATCGTGAAACCCCGGCCGGAGAGCCAGATGTATGAGCCTTGCCACGTATCTTTTGGTTCAGACATAAGGTAAGGGTTTAGGGTTTAGGGTTTAGGTTTTAGGGTGTAGGTAAGGCTTTGGGGGTCTATTATACTGTAACTAGAATAAGGAACCCCCGAAATAGTATTGGTAAGCATGTAGGCCCCTATATTACCTGGGCCCCGAAAGGTTCCTTGCGGGGGCTTCAAAAGGGGCTCTATGAATGATAAGGGATTGAAGACTTTACCGGGCCGCCCCCTCCCCCCCCCCTCCCACAAAAAGTGTGTGGTATGGGGACTATGATAATCAGCGGATTGGAATCCTACAGTGGTAGTGACTTAGTAGTTCTTCAGACCTCGGTACTGACCTTTCAAGCTCCAAATGCTTGAACTTGAACCTGAGCATGCCCTGGCCTCGACAACGTTGAAGCCCTGTGAAGGCTAGAGCCCTTGACCCAGAGCCTCCATCTGAAAATCTGGATCCAAATCCGGAAACAGATAGCCCGAAACCATTAAGCCCTCAACTCTAAAAGCCCCAAAAGCCACCCAAACCCCCCTTCAGCCTGACACCCCAACCTAAACCGGGCCCCAAACTCGGTGCAGGGTTCAGGGTTTAGGGTTTAGGATTTGATCTATAGGCTATAAAGTTTGGGTTAAGGTCTCGGCTTGAACCCCTGGAGCCAACTAATACTGAAAAGGCATCGAAGCTGAGCTCCCGACTCGATACAAACTGGTCCTGCCGAGACATCCTGGGCTGATGCTTCGAGGTTTGGAATAAACTGGGTTGCTGTTAAGGAAGTTACCATAATGGGGATATATATATATATATAGAGTTAAAAATGGATTTCCTTATTATAATCAGCGATTACTAGTAGTAACTTAATTTTAGTTGCTTGACAGCAACCCAGTAAAGGGTGCTCGTTTTAGGTCTAGGTTTTAAGAGTTGGTATCTGGACTTGCTTCAAAAGACTTCGAAGATGCCCTCTGCGCCGCCGAGCAGCGTGCTATTCTGACGCCGCGGGACGCTGGTTGCTGTCGAAGGGACCACCTGCACCTGGACTGCATCGCACAGAGTGATATATAGAGGCCTTGAATAATTAAGTAGACTAGGGTTTTCGGTGCTCATATACAATCGTTACTTACATAAAACTGAAAAAACAACAAAACCTAAGGAAGTGCATTCCAAACTATGTACTTCTATCTCACTTGGAACCAGTAGCACTAATAAGCTCAACCTTGTTCCTACGACATTGATGACGACGAGTTCTTCTTTCTCCACTCTTACATTTCTACTTCAGCTTTTGATACTTGCGACGTCTGATTCTGCTACCACCACGACGACTGCTACAACAAGTACGTAGAAACAATGTTGATAACTGTGAAGATCAGAAAGCAATGGGATGTGACTACTCGATGCTTCAGTATCCTCTCCATGAGGCCTGCCGAACCCCCCTGCCCAGGAACCTGAGTAGCAGCATGATTTTCACCGCTGTACGCGATTTACCATTTTACCACGACCTCAAACTTCACTAAGACTCGAGAATAAGCCAAATGCACTATCGCACCTGCAGCTCCTCTGCCGGGGGCGCCTTCCTTGTTAAACGTGCCGTCATCGGCGGGTCCTGCTGGCAGCAGTTCCAACCGAAAGACAACCAAAACATGGCTTCAGAGTTTATGAGTGTTTGAGGGTTTAGGATACAGCACCCTGTGTAGTCACTAGTACGGGGGCTCTTTAATTGCTGCGCCTCTGTCTGTGCATGTTTGCGGTGAGACACCGCAGGCACGATGCCACAGTCCATCCACACGCAAGGGAGCCGCTGTGATACTGCCACACTCTCCCGCATGGTGCGCAGCACCCGCCCTCTGCAGTTGAATCACCTCTCGCAAGGATGCTAACAGATCATGAAAACGGGCGACGTGGGAGTAGGGCTTGGGGTGTCTAGAGAAGAGAGAAGAGGGTTTAAGCTAGAGCTAGAAATCACTGTTAAATGACCCTCTGACATTGAGGATCTCTGGGCCGAAGCCACCAGAAAGCCGTCACGACACCTTCCTTCATTCCTTCTTTCCTTCCTTCCTTCCTTCCTTCCTTCATTCACTCATTTCATTCATTCATTCATTCATTCATTCATTCATTTCATTCATTCATTCATTCATTCATTCATGCATTCATGCATTCTTTGATTGATTGATTGATTGATTGATTCATTCATTCATTCATTCATTCCTTCATTCATTCAGTCATTTCATTCATTCCTTCATTCATGTCATTCCTTCCTTCCTTCCTTCCTTCCTTCCTTCATTCATTCATTCATTCATTCATTCATTCATGCATTCTTTGATTCATTGATTCATTGATTCATT